AGAAACATGCTTTGCATTCAGAGAGTCCTTAGTTCTCTTGTCCTTCGTCCTTGCCATCGCACTCCAGAGAAGGCTGAAAGAGTCACTGCTGCTACGAAGCTCTGCTTAATCTGCACTGGCAGAACAAAGTGAGCTCCAAGGACAGCCTGGGCAAGTTGATTTTCTTTGTGCCAACACCTTTCCTTCTGGGTTTTTTTTTTGTGGGGGGGGGGGAAAGGGGTAGAATCTGGGTTCACCTGAAAGCTGATTGGGGCCAGAGAGGTGAAGCGCACACCAGATTCGATAGCAAGGGCTGAATTCAGCAGCCCAGCAGCCACATCTAGCAAAGGCAGGGAGTGCCGGGTCCATCTGACGAAAGGGGCTCGTTAATCAAGGATGAGAAGACTTTGCCAGAAAGGAAGAAGGCTGTTAACAGAACGCACAGACACCCCCCCCACACACACACACTCCTGGTATTGTGGTTGGATATTGCAATCCCTGCATTTCAGGAAGGGGTGTACACAGGCAATCTTGGGCAAGCGGAACCCACTATATCTCCTTATTCAGAACGAGGCAGCATCATGAACTCAGCAGGTCACGGTTACCAGAAGTTGTTCATTCATCAGTTAATTGCCTTTCTATCCCACTTCTCAGGATCCAAAATCCCAAAGCGCTTCCTCGTAGTGTCTCCCCAGCATGAAAACCGAGCTGAGACCACGAAGAACCAGTCAAAATTAGGATAAAAGCCAGCCCATTAATATATAAGGATCAAGGGGAGATTGACAAAGAGGAGTTTTTGAAACAGATGCCTAAAGACAAAGAGGAGTTTTTGAAAAAGATGCCTAAAACGCATCCATGCAGGGGCCCAGTGTATCCCCCCCCCCAAAAAAAAATTCCTCTCGAGCCCACCCAGCACCAACATTCAATAACAAATGATTTCCCCAACATTTGTCATCCTTCCCTCTTTGCTTTTCCTTTCAGAATGTTGATATTTTTAAAGCAGGGATCAGAAGCGAAGCCTTATTAGAGCACCGCTGGCTGGCCTCACGCTTTTGGGGATGGCAGACTACATCCTTCCTGCATTCCCTCCCCCCCCCACCCCCGGAATGTGGGTTATCTCAGAGTGTGAGTGCCACACAGCTGGAGGGCCCCACCTCGGTACATCTGCATTAAAGAAGTACCCGAGCTGATCTGCCTCCCTCCCTCTCTCCCTTCCCGTGAATGGATTTAAATGAGCATTTAATGTGACTTTAATATGGCTGTTTCAGTTTGCTAATCCATTATCGATTGATTGTTAAAAAAAAAAAAAGAGAGAGAGAGAGAGAGAGAGAGAGAGGCTCTTTCTCTGAAATGGAACAAGCCGGTGAGAAACAAACCTGGCATGCAATTAGTGCCAAATTACCCAGCCCCTGATGGCTTTGCGAGTACATCCTGATTAAAGCTGAAAAACACAGG